CTTGTCATTAAATGTTTTGATTAATATGGACTGTACAGAATTGAGTCAGATTTTCGCCGAGAGAAATCAATCCTCAGTTTGGAATATTTACTCTTCAAATGGGCAGCGCAAAAGGGGAATTTGTGCTTTTTGTTTAGATGACCGTTAAACGATCTGATTGGTCAGATTTAAATAGCACCAATCTCATTTCCACGCCCCCAAAACGAAGTGTAGTGGACTTAGTTTAATATGGGTTAATAAGACCATGTCAAAACCAGTATTTGTGATAATGTGAGATATATGCATACCTTAGTATAAAAATTGAGTAAAAATTTCTGACTGTGTACACAACTATTGTATTCAAACAGCCTTGACCTTTTATATTTTACAGCGATTAAGTTATGAATGAAAAAAGATGAATCAGTGAAAAGAGAAGAAGGATTTGAATTCAGTGAAGTCAGGTAGCGTAACTATATCACAGGTCAATTAACAATAGTCCAGATCAGATGATAATGGTCTATCTTTTATAAAGTCACTACATCTTACTATATACTTCTTTACTACATAGTAAAAACAGAAAACAGAAGTCCAAAGGAGTACAGGCCATAGGCTTTATGGGGGTGGGGGTAATTTGATTTTCTTTGATTATTTTTATAGCATCACCCGAAAACACTTATTTTTGCCCAAGGTTTTTTATGTTGCTTCATTAAAAACATAATATTTGGAGGGGCATATGTCCCCCATCTCCTACGCCTATGCTTAAGTCAGACTCTTACTACTGTTGGTCAAGACCAGCTTGGTCCACTGGCCTCTGTGACAAGATGACCCTTAAAAGAGCACTAGCCTTTTCTACAATTTTCAGACTCACAACATACAGTATCTCAAAGATTACCAAAAGAAAAAACCTCAAAAAATTCAAAACTTTAAAAAATGAACAATATATAATTCTAATGAACTACTTCATAAATTGGAAATTTTCTCTTAAAAAATTACCTAAAAAAATAAATTCCTACTTTTATAACCATAATTATTCTAAACTATTCACAAAAACAACCCCAAATTTCATTTATTTACAGAATTTTGCAAAATTGTTACTTTCTTGTTTTGCAATTTGTTCTTAATGCCTATGGCAATGATTCAGAAACTTTTAGAACCAAACTGTCTAACTTATAAATTATTCAGGATATGTAGATTGACATATTTGCTTGTAAAATTACACTCAATGTCCAGTTTGAATGACATTTACACTGTCCACTCTACTGGTCAATACAAACACTAATCTTAGCCTGAGTAAATATCTCACACCTTGAAAAATCTTTAAAATGTATGTTTTTATGTCTGGGGGAAACTTGATAAATGCATATATTATAATATTAGTGAAGGACATTATTGATTGGGTGGTATTTAACATTAATGTGGAAGGCATCAAATAATCAAATCATTTCAGCATTGGCCATGGCATCACAATATTTCTGACCTTGAAGAGGTTTCAAATCTATGACACCTATTGATTTTGAAGACTGAGCTATCTTGCTGCAAAAAGACAGTATTCCAGTCCATTGTTATAGAGAGATTTGGGGTCTGATTAGATCCCAATTTGTTGACTGTCCTGTTATCATGTATGTACCTCTAACTCAGTTGTTCCCAGCCTTTTTCAGCCTGGAGCACCCCTGGAGCAATCACCTGGACCTTTTACAACCCCAAAAATTTATTTCATCTGCATATTCAGCATGTGATGATGTGAGGTGCTCTCTCAATTCAAAATAAATTCTTATCTTACAACAGGTGGCCACACCCCTGAAACTCTAGTCCCACTCGCACACTCAGGCACGGAGCTAGCGCAGGGTCTCAGGGGGGGTCAAATTTTTTTAAGGGGGGGCTCAAATATAACGACTCGACGTGTAATTTAAGTCATCTAAATTTTCCAGGGTAGGGCCAAAATTTTTCTTTTCCTGCCCACATCCCCTGGGGTGAAAACAACCCAGGTTGGCAACTGGGGCTCTAAATAAATCTATTATCACTATACTGATCCCTTACGGCCTACATTTATGACGAAATTTAATTATCTTTTTTAATTTAGTTGGGTGGGACTTAATTGACGAATTAATAAAGCCTAGCATAGTAAACACTAAAAAACATTAAGCTGATCTTCATTTAACTTTCCCTAAGATTGGGTTCAGGTGTATATACAATTAAATAATTCACAAAAATTAAATATAAGTGTATAAAATTACCTCCATTTGGCCTTTTAGAGAGTCCTAAAATAAAATATTTCCTTGAATCAGATTAATAGAGACTAAATTTAATGTCACAAAAATTGCAAATTTTATATTTTTCTATTCACATGCATGCTTTAAGCACACTTTACAAATAAACTTAATGCTATTATGAACATAATATATTATATAATGTAGCACAAAAATAAACACAAATTACACGAATTCAAAAATCTCCAGAAACAAATGTAAACAAAATCCCAAATATTTAAAAGAATTTTCAGTGAAATAGTAGAGATGATATAGTCCAGCGAAGCTATACAGATTATAACTGTCAATTCAGGTTATTTTTACCCAAGTTATTCAGGTAACCACCAGTAAATAAAGCCCAGCATCTTCTTTTTTTATTGTGATTGACACTTAGTGTTATATTTTCAAGTTGGATTGACCCTATTAATAAAACTGATCTTGTGTGGTCTCAGTATTAGCCTTGTTTCAATCAAAAGACAAATTTGATCACAATTTTGGATAAGACCACAGAAAGTGCAGCTTATTCATCTAAATCTTTTATATTGTGATTGATACCTTGTGTTATATTTTCAAGTTGGATTGACCCTTTAAGTAAAACTGGTCTCTGTGTGGTCAAATAATTGGTTTCCTTTAAGTCAAATGCTTCAGCTGTGATGCCATTACAGACTAAAGAAAGTGCACCTTATTGGATCCGAAATTTTTTATGAATGACACCTGGTGTTATATTTAAAGCTGAATTATCCTGGATTGCAAATCAAAAGATATCATTCATCACAATCTGCATATATTGCTGCTATTTTTAAAGGTAAAGTGTATTAGGAGAAATTTGTAAAAAATTTATTTGGGGATATTCATCTTAAAAGTGACCCACAGTCCAGCACATTTGTGTGATATTTAACAAAGACTGTTATATCTTCACTGTTAATCTGCTTTAACAAGGATTAACACTGTCTTCTCATAATACTAAATGTTAAGATGGACTCTACCCCAGGTCTCCCTAATCTGTCTCATTACAGTTGATTGAAAATTTCACATTTTTTCATAATATGTATAATGAAACATCATTTCAAAATAGTTATGATAGTCATAGAATGGGGTTAGAGCCTTCATTTATACAATACCCATTTTCAAACAGTATAGTTATACATTTTTCAATTTTTCATTTTGAGATCAGAGTGTTGACTGTATAACAGAAATGCAAGTGAAACTAATTAATGTACATACTTATGTTATGTGAAATAGCATTAAATTCAATCAAACCTATCAGATATTACATCATTCTGTTCACTTTATCAACAAATCAAATCTTACTTTTGTCTTATAGATGGGTTTCCTTATTTTTGTAGTGTCAAATTAAGCAAACTATTTGATTAATTGGTGTTTCTAATGAATTATGTATTCTTATATCATTATGTTCTTATTGCATATGATTAATTAATAAATAAATAAATTAAGTTAATTCATTTGAATTCTGCTGGTAATTCTCTTCTAATTTAGCTACTTATGAATTAATTATGGACATGTGAGACAAACAAGTATTTTTCCAAGTCATTAGAATATCTCTACTTTCTATTCATAAAAGTATTAGCATTTTCATTTTCATTAATGAAAATAAGGGAACCCATCTTTGTTGAGATATGATCATGACATATGATATTTGACAGACAATGGCTTATGCATTTATCCTCATCTGTAAGAAAATTTTATTTTGTACAATCCAACTTTAAATTTATTCATATATATATGTAAACCAAAATGTTAACAAAATAGCAATTAATCCCTAGTGGACATCATTAATCAATGACACAAATTAAATTGTCCGGTAATGATTATCAAAAACAACAACCCTTTCCTTCTCAAATTTAAATTTTCTGCTTAATGTGTTTATGAAATTGTACAACTACATTTAACTACATAAAGTTATGCACATTGCTCACATACCATAGCACAATTTGTCCTTCAAATGAGTTATAATGAGAGAGAGAAAAAGTAAACATATTTCAAAAGATTACCAGTTCTCAAGGACTCTACAATCTTCTTATGTTTGGCTTAATGAAGTTTTACATCCTACTTTTCTGCACCTACTTGGGCATATAAAGGTGGCAATGGCATGCAGTGTGCAACAAAGCAAATTTTGCCGAGACAGCTTTATTAAGCTACTCTTTTTCTATTTTTGGTTTGACTTACACCTCTCTGCAATGATCTTTCACCATATTTTCCCCTTTACAAATTAGGGGAAAATGGACCTTTTGTGCCATATTTAAATGCAAACCCCCCATGCTACCATATAGATTATATATTCAAAAATGTACACAAGGCATATACCCTATTTCTTAAAACAGGTGTTTATATTTGTATTTGTGGTCAGTCAACCCCATCATGTTTGTTCTATATTTTTTCACCTGAGCTTATGTCTGCCTTCAGGCTATATAAAACTGTTACAATTTGTTTACTTTGATATGGGGATATAAAACTATGTAGTTACTTTATTTGTTTGATCTTTTAAGTCAATACATCTCTTCATGGGTTGTATATTGATGCATGTAGCCACAGGAAGGACAATAACATCATAATGGGTCCATAATTACTTTCTATTTACCTTGTCAAGTTTGTTATTATTTCATTAACTTTAAAAGTAAACCACCTTGTAGAAAGAACCTAAAATTTCTCAAATTTGACCAATAAGAGTATATATTCATCAGACACTATTCTGGTGTCATAACTATACAACAGAATCTTTGTATAATCAATTAAATCCATAAAACTAAGTAATTATCATCCCATAGAACTATAAGTAATTTGAATCACTGAATAATAACAATAATTACTTAGTTTTATGGAATTATCAGGATTTTGTTGTATAGTTATAACACCCAGGAAGACCACTGATGAAAATATACAGTTATTGGCTGAGTTTGAAAAATTGAATGGTATTTTCCTTTTCAAAGGTAGTATTCTATAAAGTAGCCATCCTAGATATCTTATGTCAGTGATATTCAACTTTACAACACAAAAAATTGTAACATATCATTGTGTATAATACAAAGAAAAAAAAATGCTAAAAAAAATGTGGTAGAGCAGATTGTATTTTTCTAAATATTTTTTCCAATTTAAAACTTTGATAGTATTGTGGGGGACATCCTATGAGAAATATTCAGCAAAAATGACACAATTCTATATGGGATACCCCTTTTAATTAAATCAAATCAAATCAAATTTTTCAGTCCCTAACATGCTTAGTCTTGCTTATTTTTTTAACCTTTTTTCTGAAATAGCATAGCCATTATTGAGAACATTTGATGGATATACAATTTTTGTTTGTATAATGTAAGACAATTTAAATCTTAAGGGCCAATATCAACTAAATTAACCAAGATATAAGGTTATCTAAAGATATATATTTCTTACTAGGTTATCTTGCCATATTATTAATTTCTATCATTATAAATCATTTTACTTTAATCTAATTCTTCTGATAAATTATACCTTATCATCAGGTCTTGTACTTTTTATTTCATTAGACTATATTGACTATGCATTTTAAAGGTACAGTTTCGCTATTTTTGGGAGGTTGATTTCAGTCTTTGTAAGTAGTGTTCATAAGTAATAGAAATGTATGAAAGAATGCTTAATACCTTCAAATATACATCAAACTGGGAATTTTACTTTCTATTTCTGTATTTGACTTTTGTACGTCAAGTCTCAAGAAAACGTGTCGTCATTTTAACATTCAAATGTTGATAATTCTAGACACACATGGATTTGAATGGTCAAATTCAATGGTGAGCCATTAAAATTATTATTGATTAGCTTATGTTGTGGGTCAGAGATTAAAGTCTTGAGTAAAATCTTGCGTGTGTCTGTGCTCCCACAACAAGATTATCGCGTTCCAACCAAGATTTATGATGTCAAACAAGTTTGATAATTGTCTCCGTCTGCAAGACAGACCCTCATCATCCAATCAGATTCATTTTCCTTTGAAGTGCTGGCACCTCAAGTGTTTCATGGTGGAAAATGACTGACTGGAGATTTTTGTCTCGTGTGCCCGTGCCCGTGGGTGAAACTATTGACAAGATTCCAGTGGGCGACAAAAATATTAGTTTCTAAGGTATGATTGGTCAAACAGATGGTGAACCTGTCCCTGTCTTAAATAAATGGGTTTCTACTGTTCTGGTTTTTAATTCAGCTGATGAACTGAATGGATTATTCCTTCTTTCAATGGTGAGAAGAGGTTCAGTTACAGAACATAGTCACTCCGCCCTCCCCCCCCCCCATCCCAAAAAAGCAGCTTATTTATGTAATTGAAGCAATTAAAGACCTGCTTTGACAATGCTAAGCAACTTAAAATAAATGTATATAAACAAGTTTGTCACTGTTTTGATACACCTTAATGGATTGTAATATTGATAGGTATTCTGAACCTGGTATGTATCAGGGAAACTGATATCATCAATTTTCACTATTTCAATATTCATTCAGATGTCTGTGGCTCTTGCAATTTCACTTGAAGTAAGCATTTTATGACGTCACAGAAGCTGATATAAAGAATCTTTGTAATATTGATGTAATAAACAGCTTAGTTTAAGTGGAATTGCAAGAACCACAGACAACTGATTGAAAAATAGAAATGGTGCAAATCGATGCTATCAGTGTCCCTTATACACATGAAATTGTTAGTAAACCTCTTTACAATCCCTTTTGATATGTTAATGTTAATAAACAGCTTGCAGAAAAGACAAAAATTCTTACCTTTGAGCTGACTGTTCCACGCAGGTAACCTGGCAACTCTCCTGCTAATAAAATAGAAATGGTATTAGCACAACTTCTGGGAGTTAGTTTTTATTTACAATGTCAGATAATGTTTGAGAAGAGGAAATTTCTAACAAAAAATTCCTCATAAACTATTACATGTAAATAAGAGTTATTTCCCATTTTACAATTTCTACTGGTATGCATTATCAATTATATATATAGAAAATGAATAATAATTTGGAAAAATTTAGTTTCTGTTTTAGTTTTAGTCACATGTACTGATCTCAATATAACCTGAAGCATGTTAATGATATAGGAAAGAAGTGTTTAAACTTTTCATATGTATTGGGAACAGCCAGATGTCTTGCAATTCCACTCATTGTTAGATACCCTTAGATATTATTAGCAGAGTTAGCCATATACATCCAAGTTAGTTAGTTTATCATTAGCTGAGAATTGTTGGAATTGTAAGCACCGACAATTTCTGACTGAAAATTGGAATGGTGCAATTCGATGCTTCAAGTGTCCCTGATACACATAAATGGTTTAGAAAACCTCTTAATAATCCCTTTAAGAGATGCCAATTGATAACAGATTTTTCACAGGCTGCTCAGATATATATAGAATGAATCATGACAGTATGTCTGTGGTACAACTGCTGCTAGAAGAGCAAAGTGCTTATACATTGGACATCAAGTTATACCAGCAGCAACACATTTTTTCAGGAAGATGTGGTGAGAGAGGAAATTCTTGTGGCTATTCACTATTCCAAAGTAAAATAAAGTAAGAAATGAATTAAAATCATACTTACCAGGTGATTTACGAGTACTGGATCGTGATCTGGATCTATCTTGATTGGCAGATGTAGGGGAGGGTAATTCAACATGGCGCACTTTAGGTTGTGAAAGACGTTCAGTAACTGAGGCCGCTATTGCTTTTTTCTCTTTCTTATCTACAATTCCATTGGTTAATGGTTTGCTGGGGGAAGTTGCCAAGTGTCTGGACTTACTTGGACTTCTCATTGGTTTCTCAGGACTCTTCGGTACCTTTTCAGCACTTTTCATGGGTTTACGAGGACTAGTGTCAAGCTTTTTAGGAGGACTTGCAGCTGTGGGCTTTTTCGCAGCAGGGGTTGATTTCTTCGGACTAGATGGTTTTGTACTAGGCTTTTCCTTCTTTTGCACTGGTTCTGGAGCTTTAGGGACTTCATGAACAACTGGTGCTACTTGTGGAACTACAGCAATTTCTTCTTCTTGGGATTTAATAGGTTCAGCATCTACTGAGGAATCCTCTGTTTTAAGGGCTTCTAGTTCTACTGGAGGCTCAATTAAAGGTTCAGGCTCTTTTGTGCTTTCAATAATTGGTGCTGCTTCCTCTACTTTGTCTGCAACTGGCTCAATCTTTTCCTCTACTTGAACTTCATCCACAGCAGATTCATGTTCTGGAGCAACATCTTTTTCACTGTGCACAGAAGGCTCACTTTGGACATCATCTCTGGCAAATGCATCATCTGCAGGAATTTGTTCCTGTCTTTGGTCCTCTTCTTCTGGCTGTTGTCTAATGACAGCTGGACTTTCAAGTTCCACTGATTCAATACTCTGGGTCGAAGTCTGCTCAGACTCAATTTCACCAACCATTTCTTCTTCACTTGGCTTGTAAAGACTAGAACTCATGACATCAGCAGATACTCCTTCTAGTTGAGAAGCTTGAGGTTCGTCGGACTCAGGTGTCTTTTCCTCTGCTTCAGTATCAAGATCAGGTTCATACATACTAGAGCTCATCATATCTGCAGATCTATCTATGCCCTGCTGTTCCACTTGATTATCCTCAATATCATCCTTCTTAAGATCTTCACCATCTAAATCCGGTTCATACATGCTAGAGCTCATCATGTCAGCTGATCCATCTGCACCAATCTGCTTATCTTCTATTTGCTCAATGACATTCTTCTGCATAGATTCATCATCATCATGTAAATCTGGCTCATACATGCTGGAGCTCATGATATCAGTAGGTGCTGAAGAAGCAACTGGAAAATCTTCTGAGGCTATGCTGTCCTCAATATGTTTACTTTCATATTCTGCTTCAACCGTACTGCTTGATCCACTGGCATCAATGGGAACATCATTATTGGCACTACTTTGATCAAGGTCTGGTTCATACATACTTGAGCTCATAAGATCAGAAGAAGCTGGTGCAACAGGAACATCATCAACTGGACTATCAATTTGGGCATCATCATCTAAAAGTTGTCCATCATGAACTTGCTCCTTCATATCACCAACAGAGCTATCCATGATTTGTGATTCAGACATATCTGCTCTTTCAAACGGATCTTGCTGGATTTGATTATTTTCTAACTGTAATGCATGGTCTTCATCTTTTACCAATTCATCTTCTTTCTGCATCTGTTGGGCATCATCAACAAAATGATCTGTTTGTTCCATGGATGGTGCTGCATCAACTGAACTGTCAACTGGTTCAATCTGATCTGCTCCATACAAACTAGAGCTCATCAGATCAGTGCTAGCTTCTGGTTCAGGTGTAGGTTGGTCAGTAACAGGACTCTCTATCCTATCATCCTCAGCTAAAAGCATATCAGGTTCTTGACCTGTCTCCATCCCTAAGACGTTCTTGGCTCCTTCATATACCCCTTCCACCACTGCTTGAGCTGTCTCCTCGGCAGTGTCAATAATAGCTGTTCCTGACTCAACTACCTGGTCTTTTAAAGCAGATAGTCCACCAGATAGAAATCCTTCAGATTCTTTTTCGCTGGCCACAGACACATCCTCTTCTTCAGTGTAATCATCTTCCTCTATTTCATCTTCATCAGGAACAAATTGGCCCTCTTTGACTTGCTCATCCACATGCTGTACAACATCTGGATCATTTTGTCTTTCTTCTGTGTAAGAATCTGCGATTGACTCTTTAGGTTGATCATCTTGTCCGAAATGATGCTCTTCTTCCATTTGTGTATTTACTAGATCTTGTGGATGGTCATCCTTGATATTTGAACTGTCCAAGTGTGTAGCTGTTAGTTCACTTTGAACAGGTTGGTCAGTAGTTTCATTGGGAATTTTGTCTTGCTCTTCCATCCTCTCATACTGTACATCTTGATATGTCTCTTCTGATTTAAGTTCACTTTCAGATTCCATGTGTTCCTCCTGGCTAAGTTCATCTGCTTTGCAAATCATTTCAGCATCCAAAGATCTTTGAGCATCTTCGGAGTCATATGACTCATCATGTGTGGGTCTTGATTGGAATTGTTCTGAAGGAGCTAAAGAGTCAGAAATAAGAGGTGTCTCAATATCCTGGGCTTTGATCTCAGTTTGGGTGACTTCTTCTTCTCTTTGATCAGGTTCACCTGTATATAGTTGACAACCAGGTTCCTCATCATCTATTTCAACAACATCAGCTTCTTCATCATCACTGTTTTGTGATGCTGTATCACTGACATCATCAACAAAAGCCTCACGAGGATCTGAGCTTACTTCTTGATTGTCTTGTATTCCTAACTTCTCAGAAAATTCACCAGTTCCAATATCAGAAACACTGTTGATGTGTTCACCATCTAAACCAAGTTGTGGAATAGATTTTGTGTCCTCAAAACCACTTTGTTCTACTTCTGCTCCCTGACTGAATGATTCAGAACTCTCTGCAAGTTGATCAGATTTTTCCGAAATAAAACTTTCTGAATCATCAAGTCTATCAGAAACTCCAGAGGCTGCTTGCAATCCTGGGTCTTGGAAGCTGTCAGTACTACTCTGAAAGTCATCATGTATCTGTCCACCTAAATGGGGTGTTTGTTCAGTAAATCCTTCAGCTTGACCAGAAAGTGCTCCCTGGAACTCACTTGATTCCTGAAGATTTGGCTCCATATCTCTGTGGAATTCAGTTGAATGCTGGAGATCTGGTTCCATACCTCCATGGAATTCATCTGAATGCTGGAGAGCTGGTTCCATATCTCCCTGTAATTCATCCGAATGCTGAAGATTTGATTTTATATCTCCCTGGAATTCACCTGAATGCTGGAGAGCTGGTTCCATATCTCCCTGTAATTCACCTGAATGCTGGAGATTTGATTCCATGTCTTCCTGAAAATCCCCTGAATGCTGGAGATTTGTTTCCATGTCTCCCTGGAATTCACCTGAATGCTGGAGATTTGATTCCATGTCTCCCTCGAATTCACCTGAATGCTGGAGATTTGGTTCCACAAAACCGATTGTTTGTCTGGACTCATCAGCAAAGGCTCCAATGTTTTGTTGAATATCATCAGCCCTGTCAGTTGCATGATCTATCATACTGCTATACCCATCTTCAACTTCACCCATACCATGCTCAACAAATTCATCGACATGTTTCTCAAAGATATCTGCCTTTTCACCCAGGTTTTGTTCTAATTCTACAGCTCTTTCTTTAAAATCATCTGCTACGCTACCAGCAAGTGATTTACAACTAGCAGTGGGACTGTCAGATCTGTTTCTAAACTCCTCCAAATTATCAGCAAATTTTTCAACTTTTCCAGAGACATTCTCACCAAACGAACTGGTACTGTCATCCAAGTTCTGAATATTTTCAGAAACTGCATCAGACATGCTATCACAGGATTCATCTAGATTGGTTTGGATGGTATCAGCTTGTTTCCCAATATCATCTCTTATCATTTGGGCTTTTTCAGAGAGTTGCTCCTCATATTTTTCAAATTTTTCTTCCAGACTTTCTTTCATATCATAAGCTCCATCAGTTGCGCTTTCTTGCATTGTACTAACATTGTCACTGATATCTTGGAACTGATCAGTAACATGTTCTCCCATATCTTGGACCTTGTTGGAAAGTTGATCTGAAACATGTTCTCCCATATCTTGGACCTTGTTGGAAAGTTGATCAGACATCACATCTGTTTTTTCCCCATACTCCTGGAATTTGTTTGAAATGGTTTCCTCTGCCTCCTCAGCTTGGTTTGAAATTTGTTCTGAAACGGCGTTTCCATAATCAGACATGTTATCACGAAAATCTTGAGATCGGTCCCGAAACCCCTCCTTAATGTAGTCAGTTTGTTCTTCGATGTCATTCTCAAAGGCTTCAGCATGCTGGGAAACATTTTCTCCATAATTGTTCACTTTTTCACTCATTTGTTCTTTCATATCTTGTACATTATCAGAAACACTGTCTTGAAATTCACTCGCACTTTCTCGAAACTGGTCTGCGCTTTCGGAATAACTAGCTTTCATTTGATCTGTCTTTTCTGTAACATCATCCTCCACTCGTTCACCAAATCCATGAATGGCCTCTTTCATATTCTGAGCCTTTTCCGAAAAATCGTCTCCATAATCCTGCAGTCGATCATTGACATCTGTTCCAATGTCATCAATTTTGTTCATGAAGCTCTCTTTTGATTGGTCAAAGCCAGACTTTAAACTTTCTCCTGCTCCGGTAAGGGCGGAAGTAAAACTATCGAAAGGACCAGATGAATCATAGAGATGTTCTGCTCCATTGGTGGTACCATTTGTACCATTTGTTCCAAACGTTTGGTCAGCAGGGACTACTTGTTCATCATTATCCATAGCACCTGAAAGTAGAAAGAGAAAAACCATTAAATACAAATAAGACAAACCAAAATTGACAAAAAAACCCACACAGCAACTAATTTTATTTTTGTCATTTTGACAATTCGGAAGACACAAAAGCGATATAAGAATGCCTTAAAAGTGCGGGATGTGGATCAATGCCTAAACACAAAAGCCACGTTTTACTCAGCCATATTATTACAGTCCAATGTTCCAGACCCTCATCTTGTTATGATATGTAATAGTGTTAATTATATTATACGATAAAAAGGTTTTCAACAGGAAACCAGTATTGTTACTGTCTACTATTCATGAAAATATATGGTATAATATTCCAAAAATATAGGAGTATTTGAAGATGTCAGTGACCATGACCAGTTGGCATCTATGCAATAAGGCACAGAAAAGTGATATGTACCATGAACCATGACAGTGGGCATCTATCCAATAAGGCAGAGAAAATTGCTATGTACCAGGACCATGACAGTGGGCATCTATCCAATAAGGCACTGAACAGTGCAATGTAAAATTCTATTTCATTTATAAGTTCTTCAATGAATGAATGAATGAATGAATGAATGAATGAATGAATGAATGAATGAATGAATGAATGAATGAATGAATGAATGAATGAACAAATTCCTATCATTGTTTAAACCAAGCAAAAAATCAATTTAACATGGAAAACAAGACATGTGAGTAAAAATCAGTGATGTGTAGCCAATTAATTACCAACTTTCAACATGCCGATATGAATTATTCATTAATGATTTATTAACTGTTTAATTAAAAAAGACATTTATTTCTACTAATTGATCCATGTTTACAAATTCACTGGAAAAAAACAAAATAATATTCGATGTAGCATAGGCATAGGCATAGGCATCTTCAACGTGTTTTCAAATAGGAAAATTAACTGTGATAGTATATTTTGGGGAAGATAATCGTTAACTAAAAATTATAGTATGAGAAGGGTTATAGGTATTATTATCTAAGATTTGTGTGTGTGTTGATATTTACAAAACAAAACTGCAAAATGTCTATATGCATGTTGATTCAACGAGTTAAATTATATACTTTTAGACAATTTTATGGAGTATTAAAACTATGTACTCAAATTAAAAAGTTACAAGCTTTAATCATATTTAGTTGTTTGCTTGTATCTATATCAAAGATGTAATGTCAACTGTGGCAGTGTCAAGATTCCAGAAACTGGGGATACAAATATGCCGCAGACTGACTAAAAGGGGGGACAACTGTCAAGGTTTAGATTTAAAGTGCAGCATCTCTGTGGAAAGTACTTAGGTGCAAGTCTCCTATGGACTGTCTGAGAGGGTTCTCTACAAAGAGAAACCATTTTTCATATGTCAACCTCCCCCCCACCCTCCATATCCCCTACTGGTGCTTCCACTGAATGCCAATAATTAATAAAGCAAGCAATTTTTAGGGAAAATTCATTTATTGAAAATCCCAGTCTATATTATGTTGGAAAAAATTTAAAAATTTCTATCAAAGATTCATCAAGATAATGTCAAGTCTTGTAGAATAATTTCCAACAACTAGTTGATCGATCTAAAAATACTCTTCTTTCTTAATAACATCAAGGGAGATAATTACATTTTGACACCATGTATCCTATAAACGTTAATTAAACAATCTCAATTTAAAAATGGCCAAGTCATTTCTTTAGGATGTAGCAACATATTGGAGAATTAAAAAATTAGATTCAGTCAGAATGAAGAGTGATTTTGGTCTTGTTATTGGCTCTTAATGAAATTTCCAACAAGTAGAAATGTCATCAAGAAAAAAATGAAATTAGTCCAGTACTTAAATATAACTATATCTGGTACTAAAAACAGGATGATGGAGGATGAAACCATCAAAGTTTAATTATACAGAAATTTCAGAGGTGAAGTCTCAATAGCATTAACAAGTGTATGGTAACCCTCTATGAACTTTTGCACGGAAACAAATTTTAGAGAAGAAATGATGATCAGAGCTCCCTTAGTTCCTCAGAACAAACACGGAACATTCAATAGTTGGTGAAGATAGTAGGCATCTAGGCTTATCTGGAATGACATTTGATAATTTGATTGTCATAAAAAACCAACCTAAGAAGAAGCTCTATTTCATCTTTCCAAAGCAGAATCATATAACAGGTTGGTACAGTCATCAAAAATTCAAATTTCAATCAAGGTCAAATTTTTCAACAAGAACGTATATGAAAAGCAATATCTATGACCTATGAAACGACCTTTACCAACTTTGATATAACTATACTAATCTACTTATCCTAATAACTACCTGAAGTAAAAAAACAAGTGTCCATCATAAAAAAAACAGAAATATTTTTTGTTATCAGGGAATGTAGCGTGAGAATGTTATGTTTTGTTCGGTCTGCAAGTGATATAACAATGTCTATGGTTGCTATCGAGACAAACTGTCATCATTTTTGCCTGTACTTCAATGCCTGTACTTTGTCTAATTAAGTATAGTTTATCTCATGCTACCAATAGATTTCGGATACACAACCCTCATCAGGACAGTTATATTTAGAAAAGGGTGTTATAACACAGTGTGTTTATGTTTGTCTTTACGGCATATTTATCATATTAATACGCTTTAAACTGTAGCTTTATTGCAAGATGGGACGTTTTTGCAGTATTCCATAAGTGAAATTGGTTTCCATGGAAACCATGTAATCCTGAGTAATTCTACAAGTAAAGACAATTATGATATCATCTGCTATTAAGATCTTTCAGATGATAAGGATTACATTAGTTCCAATGGACCAAAAAAATCATCAGATTGACTTAAGGTTAGGTATGAAAAAAAAACCTTTGAAAATAAAAAAATGATTGAGCATATACTTTTCAATTCTCATTTACATGTGAAGAAGGGAAAGCTACGCCCGAAACGCTTGGTGTATTAATTTTTTATAAACTCTGCTGAGATGGTTTTGGGAAAGCTGTTCCAGTAATTCTCTAATGTCTGATAAAATCATAAAGAGGTCAGAAGTACCTTCATTAAACCACATGGTACCAATGGAATACTAATTCCTAATGAAAATTATTAGTGAATTGGTATACCACAACCTTCTTACAAAATTTTCTTTGTACTACATGGCCTATTGTATAATGATATTACTATGAAATGAATTGGAATTTTGCATGATACCGGTACTATTTGATGGAGATGGCGTACAAGGCATCAAGGTAAGCAACAGAGTGACAGGGTAGCTACCCCCTTCCCCTAAAAATATCATTATTTTTTTCTGACCACTGTTCAAAAAGGGGTGCACATGCAAACAGCACACAAATCTGTTGTCCTACTTTCGAAATATTATCAACATTTTTTGCCTTAAAGGGACAGGGGTGCCATTCTTTTTGACTAATCATACTTAAGTCTCAGAAACGATTTTTTTTAGCTAAGTCATTAATAGTGAAATCTGTCATAATTTGACCCTTCAAATCCATGTGTGTCCAGAATTATTCGTGTTTGAAAGTTAAAATGACGACTCATCAATTTAAGATACTCTGTGATATATAGAAAAGACATATGTAGAAATAGTGAGTAAAATTCCTAGTTTGAAGTATTTTTAAAGGAATTATACAATTTTCATACATTTCACTGAAGACTAATTACATAATATTCACGACTAAAATCAACTCCCCAAAATGGCCGATATGTCCCTTTAAGAAAAATTTACCATCAATAGTTGGGTAATAAATATAAAAGTTATAAGTCTTAATATTTAGTAATATTTATAGCTCTAATAGTTAACTAGCCACAGGCTGTATCATTGTTATTTGGCTCAAGCTTAAAATAGTCCATGGTGATGAACTGAATGACTTGTGACCAATTGATATATCATTCTCATAATTACTATATTATCAGTTGGTGAAATATTTCAGAGACTTCATCTAAAGAGCACTAATATCATTCTAGAAGATTAAATAATCAATTGAAATGAAATGGAGTTTTGCATCCTGCTTTTTGCACCGGATTTGGCTATGGTAGTGTGAGGGAAAGTTTCAAACACTGGCATTGGTCTCCTTCATGACAGACAATATCCAATGAAGGAACAACTAGAAGTGCATTTGATCTGCAGGCAAGTACATGCTGTGAATTCTTCTAGAACTTCCACACGAAACCTTACTCTTGTTCGATTTTTAAGTATCTACGTTTCTTTAAAGGTAGACAAAGATTACAATTTAATCTAGCATTCAAAACTTAAAACAAATTTACCATTTCAGCATGTGCAACTTACATCACTAGTAATTGCAAATCTGCAATTATTGAAACCTATGTTGGAATCAAACTCTGGAATTTCATGCTAGTAAGCAAGCGTCGAGCCCAAGTTAAATAAAATAATATGTCTTCATGACGTGGTTTTTGATTGGCTGTCATTCAGCAGAAACTTAATATGACTCGTCAGATGGAAAATAAATTCTAAAAATTTAAAATTCTTGGCAAGAAATGTGTCTCACTCTGCAACCACCTTCAATCCATCTGTAATTTCCTATTTGTTCCTTTGGCACAGAATTAAAGAAATTTAGCGAAAAAACATTTAATATGTGATAAATCATAAAAACATTGATTTAAAAAATTACCAGTGGAATGGTAGGAGATATGATATCTAGAAATGATAAAGTTTATCGTGTTTATCATGTTTATCATGTTCTGGTACCTGATAACAGCCCGTATTAACTACTGATTGGCTGGTACAGATACCATATTACTGATTAAAGCTCTAGAAAATACTTAAAAATCTGTCTGTGACTGCTGTATATTATATTTTGTATGGATTCTTTACAGTGCAGTGGATTTTTTACAGAATTTTTTTGGTTCAATGTAGTACAGTTCTGACATTAATGCTTGCCTTTGTATCTCTAAGTGATATATGTCATACTGCAATTACTTTGCACGTGTCTTCTCATCAAGATATAGTCCGGATATTTGTTTTTAAAATTATTTACTATTAAAAGAGATACTTGTAGCATCTTCTTTTCAGTCAGAGCCTTGTGGTTCTTGCAAGTCCATTAAAATTATGCATTATTATGTCACGATCCCAAAGGTCTTTAAATATTATTAACAGCTTTTGCTATAGTGACATCATTAGTGGAAATAAAAGAACCACAGACATCTATCTCAAAATTGGAATGGTGAAAATGATTGTTCTCAAGTGTCCCTGATAAATAAAATTCATTTTAAAAAAAATTGCCATGCGCTGTACAATGGTTTTTGACCATTTCATACGAGGACTGTTAACTTTGTTGAACATAAATATAAGAAATTATTCATTTTAGATCTGAAATCAACACTTGGTTATGAACATTTCATAAAAAAAAGTTAATTTTGGTTCAAATATACATAAATTGACAAGTTCCGTGTTGGTAAACTTAATTAGTACATGTAACATGTTGACAAGTTCCGTGTTGGTAAACTTAATTAGTACATGTAACATGTTGACAAGTTCCGTGTTGGTAAACTTAATTAGTACATGTAACATGTTGACAAGTTCCGTGTTGGTAAACTTAATTAGTACATGTAACATGTTGACAAGTTCCGTGTTGGTAAACTTAATTGGTACATGTAACATGTTGACAAGTTCCGTGTTGGTAAACTTAATTGGTACATGTAACATGTTGCTTCTAGTTAGTCAACAACATGTTGAAATTCAATATCAGAGATGTAATAGTTCCCACAATCTCCCACCTCTTCCTTTTATATAGTAACATGATATTTATGTATGATATAACTGTTCTCACTATGTTTTTATACATCTATCAAATTTCAATGATAGTACTTTTACTTTGGTGGGCATTTTTCATATATTGTCCCATCCCCCACGCTCTTCTTCATAGAATTAAAAGCTTCAAAACTACAAACTGGTCATATTTATAGATATAATCACATACTCCAGAATATGATAAAATCTAGGGCTGTATTTGATTGATATATTAATAAACTGGATGGAATTTCACCATTTGACATTCAGCCACCTAACAGTTCAACTATTCCAGTACAGCCTAACCTTATTATTATAGCTTAAAGCCACTGTATTATGTAATCGTTGATCATACTATAATATGGGAGTGGCTTCACTGCATATTTTTAGGCTAAATTACCCTCATTGGACACTGCATGGCATTGCCTGTTTCCTCTATCATAGTTATGAGCAGAAAAATATTTTACTAAACTTTATATTCAATTTTACAGTACTATTTACAATATACAAAATATTACTATGTAGCCATTAAATATAGTATTCATCAGGTGAGTATTCTATCATTATTAAGTGAGCATTCAGGCATAAAATATATCAATACTTTGTAATAATTATAATATTTGACTATTAGAGTTATTGACTCATTTAGTTAAAATGCATTGACAAATTAAATGCCTTCAGTAGAAAAGGAGTGGTTTTACTTGTATTATTATTATCATAGAATATGACATGATATATTGATATCTGACACATATTCATGCTATATAATGATAGTATAAATCAAATGAGTTCCATCATAATTGTAATGCCTTTTAGTCAATACACTAAGGGCCATATGCAGCGCTCATACTTAACCTAAACTTTGACTTAAGTTAGACTTAAGTCGAACCATAAACTCTCACCCATATCTTTATGGGCTGATCCTTTATACAATATTTCAAGCTGTGATGTCAGAGAAAGGATTTGAGAGTACTGGATAAACTATTAGAAGCACTGGCAGTGGCATCATTAAAAAAAATTCTAACCCAAGCACCTTGCAGATGACTAAAAAAAGAACCACAAACTCTGGCATGGCCTTTGATATTTTAAAATTATCTATCATACTTCTATAATTAAATCTTAAATATCAGGAATGGTAATCTCCAATATTCCTGCAAAACTTTGAAGTCAGTTTGAAATGTTATAGTATCTCATGATTTAAAAATATCTCACGTTTTTCTACCATTTTTCCGAAACTAAGCCTCCATATTCTGCTCAATTGACAGCTGCTTAAGGAAATGCCTTGGCTCAGATGGACTGAAATTTGTTGGAATCAGTCTGAATTTATGATGCTATAACCTGGTGTTAATATTTGAAACTCTTATCTAAATTTCAAGTGCATACCCCATGTAAGAGTCCTCTAACCCTGATATATTCTGACCGCAAAAGTTAAAACATAAAAGTGTAAACTTACTTCTTAAATAATAATGATGGTCTGCCATTTTGAATGGAAATAGTTAAACAGAAAATTCCACGAAAAATTTAAACCTCTTCACACAAACACTAACAGTTACAAAAAAGTACACGAAAATTCTTAATAACTGTTCAATATCCAAAGAACCGAAAGAAATTGTAAATAACTGTTCAATATCCAAAGATCCGAAAAAAATTTTTTCAAAATGTTCACTGTCCAAAGATCCAAAAAAAAAAATTGTAAAATGTTCACTGTCCAAAGATCCGAAAATTTTTTTTTTAAATGTTCACTGTCCAAAGGTCAGAAAAAAAAAATTGTAAAATGTTCACTGTCTGAAGGTCTGAAGAAATTGTAAATAAGTGTTCACTATCCAAAGATTAAAAAAATATTGTAAATAAATGTTAACTGTCCTAAGATATGAAAATATTGTCTTTTGGAGCAGGTTTCCCTCTGGAATGACCAATTAAAAAAATTACTCTGCATGCAATACCAGATGTTGTTTTATCAAAAATTCCTGAGTAAATTAGTCAACAAATTGTCATTGTCTGAATTCCACAAAACATAATCATCACTGAAACATATTGTCAAGTAAACATAACACCACCATTGATGTATCACTTACAGAAATAGGAATTTCTTTGGGAACACTTCCTGAAAATAGATGTCAAAGACTACTAACATGAAAATTCCATAAATATCTGTTATGATAAACACCTCTCATAGAAAAATACTTAAGTTCCAAACTAATGAAATTTGTAACAAACCACCATTCGTTATTCGAAAATATTTTTCATGAAATTCTTATTTCATTGTGCATTCATTAAATATATCATTGAAGGTTATGGCAAGCTCAATTCTATACTTTTTGGTAGTCAAGATATTTAAAGGGATTGTAAAAGGAGTTTTCTAAATTTCTTATGTTTATCAAGGACACTGACAGCATCAATGTACACCATTCCAATTTTCAATCAGACGTCTGTGGTTAATGCATTCCACAAAAAACAGGAACAAAGCTTAATCTACCACAAAAATATAGAATTCAACCAAACCAATACCTACAAATTTGATTCACAGAAAGTTTTCTAACACCTCTATATCCGAAAACCACAATAACTCATAAACTACTCAGTAAACTAATACATAATATAATAAATAATCATCTAGTCTAACTGATGACTTGTAAACTGCCACTGGCCTAATCAACAAACACTAATGTTTTATTTCAAATATATTAATGTTAAAGTATCAGTCACCCTTTTTCATTTTTTTTATTTATATGATACAAATGTACATTGTCATGAACATGAACAACCAAAACATCATTTTGATTTTAAATATGGTTAAAGGAGCAGTCTGTTTCTGTTTTTGTATGGAGATTGTATATTTGATTTGATTGGTTATTAAAGGGACAGAAGCGCCATTCTTTTTGACAAATCATACTTCGGTGTTAGAAACAAGGAATTTTTTTAGCTAAGCCAATCAGAAATAGTGTTCACATCTCACCGTTGAAATTTGATCCTTCAAATCCAGAATTATCTACGTTTGTATGTTTATGTTAAAATGACAACTTGTCATTTTAAGATACTTGGTCCAAGTGGATATCACGATATTATGCATTAATATATCACAATATGGGTATATATCACGATATTTCTTTAGTATGGTTTTTACTGGTTTTTGATACAAAATGATGATATCTGGATTAAAATTTGACAATATATCATGATAAGTACCATTTATATGTAACATTTTTTTTTTTTAATCAGGCAATATTAGTGACAATATAGTTTCCTATACCAGTATTTATCATGATAGCGGTATATTGCCCAGTTCTAAGTTTATCTTAATCATTTTGGTATTGGAGACAGAAAATTTAGAATTGGATCTTGTGTAATTCTTTCAAAAACATTACTCAAAATACAATGTGATGGAGTCATGCCCAATGGATCATTTAAACAGAATTTTTTTTGATCACGATGGAAGTTTTGATCAGTAAATATTATTTTTTTTAACTCTAACTAACTAAGAAATGTCTTAAACACAACTTTTCAGGAAGATTTTCTGATGAACCTAAACCATATCTTTAAATGGCAATATTCCAGATTATTCTATGAATGAAGTTAGAAGTGTAATATATTGGTCACAAGGTTGGTTAATACCAACATTGACTTTAAACTAGTATTATGAAAGTGGAATACTTTTCCATTTAAATTCCTCACACCCTTCGGTACTTAAATCAAAATTCAATCAAAATTTCCAATAATTTCACAGCATTTTTATCTGAAATATCTGAAAGTAACTTTGCTTTGCTAATGTTCACATTCCATTTTATTCAATTCTAAATTTGCTCGCAAAAACTTAATACCATATGAAATATTATAATTATAACTTACTATAATGCCAAGTGAAATATGAAATACCAGTATTATAGCTACACATATACATATGAAGTATTATTATAACTAATTATAACTTTTCATATTCATTTGAAATATTAAATACTATAACTAATTATAACTATTCCTGTTCATAAGGAATTGGGAAAATCATAACATACATATTTAATATGGAATATTATAACTGTTCATGTACACGAAAAAACAATTATAGAATATTAAAATCATACATATTTAATATGGAATATAGAATATTATAACCGTACATGTATATGTGTAATATTATCAATACAATGTATCAAGTATTGAATATGCAATGTTATAACTGTATATGTATATGTGTAATATTATCAATACAATGTATTAAGTATTTAATATACAAGGTTATAACTGTATATGTGTATATGTAATATTATCAATACAATGTATTAAGTATTTAATATGGAATATTATAACTGTACATGTCCATGTGTAATATTATCAATAGAATGTATCAAGTATTGAATATGCAATGTTATAACTGTACATGTATATGTGTAATATTATCAATACAATGTATCAAGTATTTTAATATGGAATATTATAACTGTACATGTATATGTGTAATATTATCAATACAATGTATCAAGTACTGAATATGCAATGTTATAACTGTACATGTCCATGTGTAATATTATCAATACAATGTATCAAGTATTTAATATGGAATATTAATATGACTATTATAACTAGTCGAGAATGACATTAATATTGATAGATTATTATACACACACCTTAAATAACTTTTTTATTAATTACTCATCGTGAACACGTCTGGCAAAAATGACAACATAGTTTATAATAAAGAATACTTGTACCTTTTACAAATCATGTTCACCTTATATGGACCAAAAATTACCATCGAAATAAACCACTGTTTCTCAAATCTTTGCCACATAATTTTATAGATATAATGGTAGACAGTGCCACTTTAACCCTCCTGAGCCTGTGCTTTCTTAACATAGTTTTCAATGAAAATGTTACAACCTTTATTCCTTACGTTTGCATTCTGTTAATTCAAATGATTTGTAGCATTTTGTCTGTTACCAAAGTAAGACACATTATTTTTAAATTAGATAACTGAACCATGTGTAATTTGACATTGGCATGAAAATGAAAACATATTCAAATATAATAGGAATGCAATGAGAATTATTCTAATTTCAAGTTTTAGATAACACTACATTACAGGAATAATGAGAATTTAAGAAATTTTAGACGGCAATTTCCATGTTATCTTATATCATTTTAAACTTGAACATTTTATAGGTTACAGATAAAGTTAAAAGCTTTTTAGTAGATAAAAATGTTAGAAAATGATATTGCTATATCTTCAATTTTCTAGTAAGTAAATTGGTAATATTGACAAAATTTTCCCTTATTGCACACTGCATGGTATTGCCCCTTAACAATGTATAAACAGGACATACTGAGGACAATGTAAACAGTATTTTCAAATTTAATAAGTATTTCAACATGTTTATAAGATTTTGTTCAAAATTTGCAGCCATCTAACTTTAAGATATTCTTCAAATAAATATAATTTTCTTGAAATTGCATCACAAGCTGATAGATCTCAATTTCAGCTGTTTGTAGCAGTGAATATAAAAAAATGTTAGGGCGAGCTGAAATTGAGCTTTATTAAATGGTATATCAAAATATTACAGATATTACTATTTATTCTATGTCTTAGAATGAACATAAAATTTAACTTCTCAAGAATGGTCAATATGAGTATATATTCATCAGTGAACTTACTTAGTGTCATAAAGTTACAACAGAATCCCTGTAAAATCTAGAAAATTGAAAAATTAATAAAACTAAATCATTATTGAATAACGCTTAATCATGATATTAAGCGTTTTTCAATAGTTAATCGCATATTTATGGATAATTATTAATTTTTTTTAGATTTATCAGATTATATAAGGATCCTGTTATATTATTTATGACACCAGGTATATCTACTGATGAATATATATATAAAATGTTCATTCTAAGTATTCCTTTAATTGTACACAAATTTAAAAAAAAAATACACCTAACCAGTCCCTGAGGGTATGCGAAAGTCACTAAGATACAGTATTAGTGCATTGTACTACTAATGATAAGCAAACATTAATTTGTCATGGAAAATGTCAGTGTGTCTATATAATGTGACTAATCTATCATATATATGATAATATGTTATGATTTTTAATATTTTTTATTTGAAAAAAACTGTGTTTTTGTAGATATGAGTCACCTTAGTCACATTTGATACTTTAAAGTAGCAGACACATTTGTTGTAGGATTAACATCAATAATGAGGTTTCCTGTTTTTTGGGAATTTTTTTTCAAAGTTTTGTTTCTTTCTTTCTTGATATTGATTACCTTTTTTTATGTCTTTGCGAGCTAAGTTAGTTGTCTCTTCTGGTCAGTAAGTGAACAAAGGCCATTTTGTTCAGTGGTCAAATGGTTAAAACTGCCTTTAAAGTGATTCTAAAGGGGTTTTCTAAATTGTGTATGTGTATTGAGGGCTCTGTGGCATCAATGAGCACCATTATAATTTTCAATCAGATTTCTATGGTTCCTGCAATTCCACTAAAACTAA